TTTATGATGATTTTGCAAACGGAGAAATACGGTCTGACGTCCTAGCCAAACTATGCGAGCCTCTGACTTTATCCAAGTTTTACTACGTTGTAATTCCGTCTTCATTTGCACAGCTACTACATCCTTTTTTACTGCTACACATAACTACAACAAATTGTAATTCGTCTTGAAGGTCTAAATTTAATTAAGACTATCCTAAGCATTCGAAATTAAATTGAACTTACTTATCTTTGTCTTGAAACTACTTAGGACCAATCAACGCCGTCGTTGTATCTCCGAGCGGTGACGTAATCACCGGCTCTAAGGACAGCACGGTCCGCGTGTGGTCGCTAACTACGGAAGAATGCCAAGCTGTGTACGAGGGCCATGCTAGTTCTGTTCTGTGCCTGGAATTGACACGAGACGGCGAGAGTGTGATATCAGGCTCGGAAGACAAGACTGTCAAAGCCTGGCATCTAAAGACAAAGAACTGTGCTACACTCAAAGGCCATGGAGGTAAGCACCACTCTGTCTTAAACTAAACTAAGCACGTGTCGCTTTGTAAGGGGAGATTCGTAGGAACATGACGTATCCTTAACGCGTGATGCTGACGTGACAACTTGCGGAGTCCGCGCAAGGTTTTGGAGAGAAGAATAGTCCGGATCTTCGAGTTCTTGAATGAAGGTTTGCCAAAAGATACCATGATTTTTTTGTTGTGGATCCAAAGACCAGTGATAGAGGTTATGTCTGTGTTAAAATCAGTGCTAGGCTTTCACAGCTTGTTCATGTGTTTAGCTATACGCCTGAAAAGAAATTCAATGACAAACAGAAAGATGTTCCGCGGAAACCAACGGTCAATGCACCTTGACTTAAGTTAGACAAGTTACAATATCCTGCATGTGTTCTAATTTTTGCGCTATTCCCTGTAACTTTACTTTTCTATTTGAATGCAAAACATCATGAAGGGGTAAGGGACGTTACATTATGTCTATTTACAGGTCTGATCAAATGTTTGGCGGCTTTGAATGACGGTCGAAGAATTGTGTCTGGATCAAAAGACCAGTCGCTGAAGATCTGGGACCTCATCTCTCTTCAATGCTGCGTGACTCTAAAAGGTCACACAGACCTTATTTGGCGCGTTGCCGTTGCCTCAAACGACAGTTTTATTGTGTCTGCCTCAAAAGATGACATGTTAAAAGTGAGTCCTTTTTACAATTTCTTGGCTATTTTTCCACTGTCAGGTTTTTTTTTCACTTAGGCATCCATTTCCCGGAATGGTGTGCCAGAATTTGAAGTAATACTAATTTTAACCTGCTCGAATTCTGGTTTCCCCTCATTTCATGTACGATAGACATCTCTATGTGATGTTCCCATTCTACAGCTCTTTTGATCTACAAAACAAAACCAGAGAAGTTATATTGACAGAATACGATCATGAAATGAAAGCCAGTTTGAAATAACAGCTGTCGAACATTTACAATTACAAGCGAAACCATTGGTACTCTTCTGGTGAGAGAGTTTTCCGGTGACTTTTTACTTTCGAGAAGAAAGGCTGGTGCAGATGTTTTGGTGAGCGCCACACAACAGCGATGCCGGTGATCTATCACGTCCTGGCAATGACATAGATGGTTGGTTCTCGCCTGGTTTACGGGTCTTAATCAATTCTCCCAAAATGAATGAGATTTTGAACAGCTGACGAGGAGCCATGTGAAGGTCTTAAATAAATTCCTTTTTACTTTCATTTAATAGTCGTTATCCAATTTTGTCTCCAAAGGTCTGGGATCCAGTCACAGGTCAATGTCAGCAGACCTTAATTGGCCACTCATCGTGGATCTCTTGCGTTTCCATAACAACGGATTGCAAAACGATCATTTCTGGTTCAAATGACAAAAACGTCAAGCTCTGGAACGCCACTGGAAATGAGCATGCTCAGAGCATCTCAACACCGAGTGATCACATCCTCCATCATGCTACACAGCCTAATTGTGTCGCCATAACAACGGACGGGCGCTGGGGCCTCTCTGGATCAAAAAGCGATTCTTTGAAACTGTGGGACATCGCTAGCGCGAAATGCGTCAAAAGTAGCCCAGGCTCAATTGCGTACATTGCTGCCATGCACAGATCCCCCCAAGTGGTAACTGGTTCACACAATGGCGACATTACTATGTGGAATTGCGACAGTTTGGAGGTGCAGCAGACTGTTAAAGCTCACCAAGGTAGTGTAATGTCGCTGCAAGTCTCTAAAGATGACAGTTTTATTGTCTCTGCATCAAATGACAAGACAGTTGGGTTGTACCATATTCACGAAGGTCAGGTAGTACAGCTTGTTGGCCATACCGATGCAGCTGTCTGCATGTCTCTTATGAAGGGAGAAAATCTTGCGATCTCAGGTTCTAAAGATAAAACTGTTCGACTGTGGAACCTGCAGACGAAGAGCTGCGAGAGGATATTTGAAGGACACACTGGAGTTGTTGAATGCCTGGCATCAACTAGCGACAATAAAACTATAGTGTCGGGCTCGGGAGACTTCACACTTAAAATCTGGAATATTGAAAAAGGCGACTGCCTGTTCACTTTAAAAGGACACAACGACTCGATAAAATGTATAGGAATAACCGATGACAACCAGTTTGCGATTGCTGGTTCTCATGAAGGAAAGGACCAACTCCTGCTATGGAACCTAAAGGATGGGAACTGCGCTCGCAAGCTCACCGGTCACACCCACGCAGTGATGCGCCTCAAGGTCCTTCCAAATAACATGATGGTCACAAGCTCACGTGACGGGACCATAAAACTGTGGAACATTCAAAGTGGAGAGCTCATCAACTCTTTTGATTTTCAGTCCCAAGTCAAGTACTTTGACGTCCACCGGGCTGATGACGGTTATTCGGTGATTCTGGTCACCAAATCTGGGACAGTGTCCATTCTGAAACTTCCTATCTCCAACAAGGAAACCGAGGAAAGTTTCTCATCAATTAAGAATTCTACTCCCGAGAATGTAGAAAGCTCTGCTGCCAAAGCAACACCTACACAAAGTGGTTGCTGTGCCAGTTATCGCTGCTGTAGGTGCTGCCAAAAATGCACTGTGTTTTGACTAAAAGACTACTACACAAACTGGTTAATGGATATCAAGGGAAAAAGCTCTTCTGATGAAATGATTCGTTCGAGATTGAGTTTTATCAGCAAAATATTTTGCTTCAATTTAAACTAAGTATTTCAAACAGTTCTACAAGTACCGTTTTTGCTTTTTAAACTGCATAAAGGTGTTTTAAGTATTCTTTTGGCACAAGATTGTTAGCAGGAATTTGTTAACAAAAGTAGCATAATAACAGACTGCAAAAATTACTTCGGATTTATATGCTGAAAACTAAATCAGCTGCATTTTTTTTT